ACATTCTTGCTCGCTTGCTGTGTCCTGACCTTGGGTAGCAGTGTGCTCTGCTTGCTGTCCACAGAGGTCAGCAGACTGAATGGCTAATGTAACGCCTGGTCAGGCCTAGGGTCCGCATGTCCAGCGACTCCTTGTGACTCTTGAGAGTGTCCCAGAGTGTTGGAATTCTAGTTGGAAGTGATGTTTTTCTGTGGTGGTGTATGTTTGTTTTTCGTTACGTATTTGACTTGGCCTGTGGGAAGTTGAGGTAAGCAGGCTGTTTCTCATGGGTTGGAGATGGCTCGCTTGCTGTAGAACCTGCTTGACTGTGCACGCCTCGGGTGGCGGATGCCAGAAGGAAGGGCCACCAGGAGCATGTGGGTGAGAATGGAATTGCATTGGTCATGTGGGCCTGTCTGGACAGATGGCCACAGTGGGCATCCTCTTGACTGTGCTCACTGCTCTATTAACTGTAGCAGGTTGTGTGTGTCTGTGTAGATCCCATTTGTGAGCACCTGCTAAATAGGTGTGATCAGAAACAACACCCTTACTGTGTCCAAAATGTGGGAAAATTAGTTTCTCACCATGAAATACCATGACATTGTGGTGCAAGACTTCACAGAGTTCATGTAAAACGGAATTAAAAGGTAAATGTGTTTTTTTGGGGAAAAAGGGGGGGAGGGAATTTTTTCATTTCTCTTTTATAATATGTAATGTGTTTATCATGAACTTTTTTTTGAAAGGTTTATTTATTTGAAAGGCAGAGTTGGAAAGACAGATCTTCCATCCACTAGTTTATTCTCCAAATGGCCGTAACAGACAAAGCTGGGTTGGTTCAATGCCAGGAGCTCCATTTTGGTTCCCTACGTGGATGCAGGATTCCAAGACCTTGAGTCGTCTTCTGCTGCTTTCCTGGGCCACAAGCAGGGAGCTGCATTAGAAGTGGAGCAGCTGGGACATAAACTGGTGTCCATATGGGTGGGATACTGGCTCCATATGGTAAAGGATTAGCTTGCCAGCCCCCAAAGTTAATTTTTAATTCCATTTTCCATGAACTTTTTGAAGTGTAAGTGCCCCATAAATCTAACTTTGGCCTTGGCCCCAGTGGAAAGCTCTCAGATTAGGTGAGAGGAATGCATGTCTTTTGTCCCACTTTCTGATAGCAGTGTGAGCACCAGCACCTGAGTGTGTTCCTGGGCACTTGCTGTGATTGGAGGGTCAGAGCAGCTGTGCTCGCTCTGCCCACATCTTACCCTGACAGTCATGGTGTCGCAGCGACCCTCGTGGTCTGAGGGCAGACTTTGATTTCTGTTCGTTCAGATGTATTGTAGCATGTTTTATGGTCTGCAAGAGTGGGAAGAATATGTGCTGTGCTCTGGGTGGGTCAGGCAACCCCGGGCGTTGCTTTTCCCTGACAGCTGCTGATCTCAGCTCCGTGCCCGATGTGTGCCACATGTGTTCCATGCCTGGAACTGCCAGTCCTCATTATTACAGCAGCTCTGTGTCCCTAGGCTGAGAATGTGTTGTCTGGGTGCCGTCAGGGTGGACACTGCTCCCTGTGCCATGAGCGACCTGGATGGCACTGGCATCTTGTTTCCTATGCACCGTTCTCCCTTGTGATCACACTGTAGAGGGAACCCCCAGGCCCTTGGTACTTTGTGGCTAGGGGCTCCAGGAAGAATTCTGCCCCCAGATCCTGGTTAGTTCCTGGGCCCATTTTCCAGAAGGCAGGACAGTCTCTGAGCCCCCCAAAAAGAAGCAGCTTGAGCTCATGCCCAGCTTCACATGTGTGTTCGTGTCAGCAGCTTGCTGTCTTTTTCGCTGACTCGTGAACACACTGGACATCCCACTCTGCACAGGACACACTCCTGGGCTGCATGATTATATGTGTCTGAGAACTACAGTTCCCAGGATGCATGCTGCACTAGCACTCACTTCCTGTAAACCCTTGTCAGCCAGGTACGAACTGTCTGAAAACTACAGTTCCCAGGATTCACCCTGCATGAGCACTCACTTCCTGTGGGCCCTTGTCGGCCAGGTGGGAACGTTTCCGTGCTGGCAGAAAACAACCTTGAGGAACCTTGACTAGGGATGGGTAAGCCTGCTCTCTGGATTTTTAAACTTCCTATAGAAGATTTTTGCAAGAGTTTTGATGTTACATTGGGGTTAATCTTCCAGTAAAAGAAAAATGAAATCAAGAAAAAAAAGAGGCATAGAAAAACCTGTCTTATTTGACGATGTTCACTTTGTTTCTTTTTCAACTGGTCTTATTTCTCTCACGGAAGATAACCACATGGAGCACAATCTACTCAGTGGAGTGTGCAGGAGGAACCTGCTCTGTGTGACTTCCCTTTCCGCTTCTGAAGGTCTCCCATCTGGCTGTGCCAGCAGTTGTCCTTCTGACCCCTGGCCGCAGCCTGTGGCTGTTCCAGGAGGAGCCTCGGTACTTCACAGAGTGCTCCACCCTCCCCTTGTATCCCATCAGGGTGCTCCACCCTCCTCCTACCCCCTCAAGCTCCATCAGGGTGCCCCACCCCCTCATGCCACATCAGGGTGCCCCACCCTCCCCTTACCCCATCAGGTGCCCACCCTCCCCTTATACCCCATCAGGGTGCTCCATCCTCACCCTCATGTCCCATTGAGTGCCTTTTTCACCCTCTGCGCCCTTCTCAGAGTTCCTGGGAAGGCATCTGTCCACTTGGCAGGGGTGCTTCATGTCGTAGTCCCTCTGATGTAGCAAGTTCACACACGAGCTTGGGACCAGCTGTGCTAGGCTCTCCTTCCCTCAGAATCTGGTAACTGTAGATGCAGTAGCGAGCTGTGAGGGAGGAAGAAGACAGCAAGACAGCTAAGGCACTTCTGGAGGAGGGAAGGGTACAGAGTGTGCACCAGGCCTGGGCTTGGGACTGGGCCTCTGCAGTGTCCTCCATGATGCAGGGTGGGCTGGCAGAAGTCTCTCCACCGCAGGATGGGCTGTCCTCGGCCAGGAGCAGCTGCCGTGTCCAGACTCCCACCTTAGGGGGCAGACTTGCCTCATTCCCCATCTTGCAGCCGGGGGGCCCAGTGAAGGGACACGTGGCAGGTGTGTGTGCCTTGCACAGCTGGGTGAGGCAGGAGTAGCCCAGCAACAGGCATGCAGGGCATCCCCATGGGGTCTGGCTGTGCCCGGCTCAGACCGCTGTGGCCTGTGTGGGCTCCCACTGAGTGAAACAACGATGAGACCCTTGTTGCAGCCCTCAGATGTGTGGGACTGCATGTTGCAGACCACAGCTGGGAGGTCAGCTCAGGCCTTGGATCTCTGGGCTGTGTCGCAGGCCAGTGTCCACTATTTATGCCGAGTTGTGTACCTCAGGCTGTGGGGCTGGAGCTTTGCCAAGAATGTTCATGTTCTCTGCTGAGTGAGGTGACCGCCAAGCCACAGGATCTGTCTGGAGGACAGCAGTTTCACTCTGGAAATGGTAGAATTGGGCCTTCTCAGGTGACTGATTTTGCTCTTTAGAATCTCAGGTGCCAGCCTCCCCTTGTCTTCTCTGTCTGTACTGGCAGGCTGCCTTTGTAGCAGCTCACCTCCCCCACAGCCTCGTTTCTCTTACTTCCCGGTCAGCTCTGCCACAGGCCACTGGCCCTTGGTTCCATGACCACCTTTGCTGCCAGCACTGGGCCGTTGTCCTCCCTGGCTTCCTGTCCCTGTGCCCGAGTGCCTGCTCTGCTCAAGTCTGCAGGACATCCTGCTGCTCAGGGATGGCCGACAGGGCCCTTGCAGCTCCACACTGCCCTGGGCACCCTGACTTCCTGCCCCTCCCTGTGTGTCTGCCACACTCCTGCCAGGTCTGCTTACTCACTCACACATCTCAGGAAGATTGTGGTTCTTGTTCTCCCCCTCACCGCCACCACTTTTGTAAGTTCATTTATTGAATTACACAGTGATCTTCCTACTGGTTCACTCCCCAGATGGTCACAACAGCCAGGGCTGGGCAAAGTTGAAACCAGGGGCTTCATCCAGTTCTATTTGGGTGGCAGGTGCACTTCTAGGCCATGAGCTGGGAGCTGGATTGGAAGTGGAGCAGTCAGTGTTGGGGCACAGCGCAATAGCCTAGCAGCTAAAATCATTGCCTTGCACGTGCTGGGATCCCATATGGGCGCCGGTTTATATCCTGGTGGCCCCACTTCCAATTCCCTCAACTGCTTTTGAAGATGGCCCAAAGCCTTGGGACCCTGCACCTGTGTGGGAGACCTGGAACAGGCTCCTGGCTCCTGGTTTTGGATCATCACAGCTCCAGCTGTTGTGGCACTTGGGGAGAGAATCACCGGAAGGAGAATCTTCCTGTCTCTCCTCCTCTCTGTATATTTGACTTTCCAATAAAAATAAAATTTAAAAAATGTCAGTGTTACAGATTTCAGCTTTACCCCCTATGGCACTGTGGCCACCTTGTTTTTGTCCCCTTTGAAGAGGCTCTGGAAATGCCCCTTTGGTTCATCCATACCTGCCCTGTGGATGCTGCGTCCTCTGGCAGCTCCACAGGGTCAGCAGGGAGGCCTGCTCCTCAGCAGCTGTTTTCCACTTCTAGGAGAACTGTGGCACAGTGAGAGGGGAGGGCGTCCACTGTTGCCGTCAACCGTTATTCTGAAGCTTCCACTCCTGACCCTGGCAGGTGGGGACAGTGCCCGTCTGGCTAGCAGGGCTTCTTACACGTTCCTACCCTGACCACTTCCTGTGTGCAATCCCTCCTCATGTGTTTATCCTCGTTACTTCCTGTCCACACTCCAAGGCCCACACCTAGACAGCCCAACCTCGGGTGGCCTGTCCATCATCTCACCCTTCGGCCCCTCAGCCCCTCTTGTCTTTGCTATAGAAATTGCAGAGGGCTCTGAAGATGGATTTCACAGTGAGACCTATGCTGGCAGCACAGCCTCCTTCCTGCAGACTGTGCCGTGACAGCCCAAGCAGGACTCGGCATGATTCCAAAGCACAGACAGAGCCTGTCAGGATGAGACACTGACTCTGCTGCTTCTCTCCTCAGAGCCTCCCAAGATGAACCCAGTGGTGGAGCCACTGTCCTGGATGCTGGGCACGTGGCTGTCGGACCCACCAGGGGCCGGGACCTTCCCGACACTGCAGCCTTTCCAGTACCTGGAGGAGGCACACATCTCCCATGTGGGCCAGCCCATGCTGAACTTCTCGTAAGTGTCTGCCAGGGACAGACAGATGTCAGGCAGGACATTGCAGGGGAGCTGGTGGCTGAGGCTCACGGTGGGTGCCACAGAACTGCAGGTCTGTAAGCTTCCCTGGGTTCCTGATAACAGGAGGGCATGGTTCCATGTACCCTGAGTCTGTCAGGACCCAGCTGCCTTCCCCACAAAGCTGGAAGAACAGTACTGTGCAGGGGGAGGTGGGCATAGCTAGAGACTGCCAGGGACTAGGCAGGTCTTGTATTTTCCATGTGTTTAATTGTGCACGGAAATATGTTTTTACAAGTTTGAACAACTGAGAGGCAGAACTCTTGCAGGCTTCACTGTTGTGGAGTCTCAGGCCCTCCAGTAGGTGATGTAGGCAGAGTCAGCGTGCTCCAGCACCCAGGCTCGAGCAGGGTTTAGGAGGCTTAGTCGTCCCTGTTTGAATAGAGGAATGCAGAATGAGCTCTGCACTTGGGTGAGCAAGAGGATTGGAAGGCACCACTGGCAGAATGAACAGCCTCTTCTGAGCAGAGGGAGCAAGGGGCTGGTCTGGGTGGGACCAGTTGCAAGGAGACTGCAAAGTAGAATAGAGGAGAACCCATTGTGTTGTGATACTGCGACATGGGAGATGCGTATTTAGGATTGTATTCACATGAGCCAGCACCACAGAAGTCCATTGCTGAGAACACAAGCAAAGGATTCCCTGTGGAGCAAAATAAGTGTGCACGTCGTGGGCTTACATACCGAACCAGGGAGCAGGTACCTTTTGTCGCCATCCCGAAAGACCAGGCTATACCCCTGTCTTTAGCATTCATGTTGATTGATGGCCCAAACCCAAAGTTACAAAGAGCAGAATGGGTGTCCAGTGTTGCTGAACAGGGCTAAGAGCCAGCAGGGGCCAGCTAATGGGCTGCAGGGAAAGGCTTTGTCCGAGATTATTAAGCATGAGTTCTTGGCTTTGTCTGGGAAGGCCATGAAATCTGGTGAGGCAGCCAAAGGGCTGGGGGCCTGCTGTGTGGAGCGGGAGCCATGGTACTGTGGCACACTGCCTGGCCTCACCTCCCTGGCTTCCATCCAGGTTCAACTCCTTCCACCCAGACACGCACAAGCCAATGCACAGGGAGTGTGGTTTCATCCGCCTCAAGCCCGACACCAACAAGGTGGCCTTCATCAGTGCACAGAACACAGGTATGCCTTGGAGTTCGTCCTGAACCACCTTGGTGGACTCTTGGGGGTCTCTGCTCATAGACCCATGGGGACAGGACCAGGACAGCACTGCTGCCCCCACAGTTCTGCTTTGGTCCCATCTTGCTGGCACCTCACTTGCCAAGTACCACCACGAGGCTACTGGCATGGTCCCTACCCTCCCTAGAGTCATTCCACAATAGCTCACCAGCCAACACCCTTACTAGAGATCAACAGCTTTTGTGACGTTGATTGTGGTAAATCATCCCAGAGCCCTGCTTCCTGGGCATTGGGGAACTGCCCCATCTGTCCCACCCACATCACACCGCTGGCTCTTGGTGAGTAGGGGTGGTTGAGCAGGGTCCAGGTGCCTCCTCAGGACACTGCCCCTCCTCCAAACCGTGAGGAGTTGGCAGCGAGAATGTGGGACCTGGATCTTTGGTTGCCTGAGCCACAATGAAATCACTCCTCCTTTGCAGGCATCGTGGAGGTGGAGGAGGGCGAGGTGAATGGGCAGGAGCTGTGCATCGCATCCCACTCCATTGCCAGGATCTCCTTTGCAAAGGATCCACAGGTGGAGCAGGTGAGATGGCCTGGCTAGTCCTCCATTGTTTAATGGGCTGCCTCGGTCTGTGTCCTCCTCCCGTTGGGGCCCAGGTGTGGTGCGTCCTCCTCCCGTTGGGGCCCAGGTGTGGTGTGTCCTCCTCTCGTTGGGGCCCAGGTGTGGTATGTCCTCCTGTTGGTGCCCGGGTGTGGTGTGTCCTCCTCCCATTGGGGCCAGGTGTGGTGTGTCCTCCTCCCTTTGGTGCCCAGGTGTGGTGTGTCCTCCCTTTGGTGCCCAGGTGTGGTGTTCTCCCGTTGGTGCCCAGGTGTGGTGTGTTCTCCCGTTGGGGCCCAGGTGTGGTGTGTCCTCCTCCCGTTGGGGCCCAGGTGTGGTGTGTCCTCCTCCTGTTGGTGCCCAGGTGTGGTGCATCCTCCTCCCATTGGTGCCCAGGTGTGGTGCGTCCTCCTCCTGTTGGGGCCCAGGTGTGGTGTGTCCTCCCTTTGGTGCCCAGGTGTGGTGTTCTCCCGTTGGTGCCCAGGTGTGGTGTGTTCTCCCGTTGGGGCCCAGCTGTGGTGTTCTCCCGTTGGTGCCCAGGTGTGGTGTGTTCTCCTGTTGGGGCCCAGGTGTGGTGTGTCCTCCTTCCGTTGGGGCCCAGGTGTGGTGTGTCCTCCTCCTGTTGGGGCCCAGGTGTGGTGTGTCCTCCTCCCGTTGGTGCCCAGGTGTGGTGTGTTCTCCCTTGGTGCCCAGGTGTGGTGTGTCCTCCCATTGGTGCCCATGTGTGGTGTGTTCTGTTGGTGCCCAGGTATGGTATGTCCTCCTCCCGTTGGTGCCCAGGTGTGGTGTGTCCTCCTGTTGGTGCCCAGGTATGGTGTTTCTTCCTTCTGCACTGCCCCTCCATGACTGTGCTGTATGGTGATCACACTTACTGTTGCTTTGTTTCCTGTTGGGAGCTGTGGAGGTACTTTCTGACAGCCCCTGCATCCTTCATGTCCCAGCTTCCACATGGAATCTGTTTTAAATCCGCCATCTGATGGGTCAGCTGAGCCCTCTTTAACTGCCAGGTGGCTTGGTGTGAGCCCAGGGCCATTGTAATTGGTGCATGTTGCTGTGGCCCACAGACTGACGCCTCCCCAGTCTGCACTTGTTCTGTCTCCTGGGGATTTTCCTTCACATGCTGGAGATCATGTCTGAGAGTTCTATGTTGCTGCAGCCATTCTGAGTCTCCCCAGGGGGTGGCATGTGGCCCCCACACCATTGTGTGAGTCCACCCAACCCCATCTTTGCAAAACAGCTCTGTTTCTTCTCTTTGTCCATTCCTCACCAATAGTACATTGTTTCTGTTGTTATAGGTTTATTTTTTTCTTTTTAAAGATTTATTTTTATGGCAAAGTCAGATATAGTGAGAGAGGAGGAGAGACAGGGAGGAAGATCTTTTGCCCGATGACTCACTCCCCAAGTGACTGCAACAGCTGGAGCTGCACCAATCTGAAGCTAGGAGCCAGGAGCTCCTCCAGGTCTCCCACGCAGATGCAGGGTCCCAAGGCTTTGGGCCGTCCTCGACTGCTTATTTCCCAGGCCACAAGCAGGGAGCTGGATGGGAAGTGGAGCTGCTGGGATTATAACTGGTGCCCATATGGATCCCAGTGCATTCAAGGCGAGGACTTTAGCTGCTAGGCCACAGCACTGGGCCCTACTTATATTTTTCTATCCAAGCTTTCCATATTCTTTTCTCCAATATTTTGCTTTTAAGATTGATTTTAGAGTGGTGATGCTGTTGCATACAGGGTACAGCCACCACCTTTGGCACTGGCATCCCATATGGGTGCTGGTTGGAAAGCCAGCTACTCCATTTCTGATCCAGCTCCCTCCTAATATACCTGGGAAAGCCACAGAGGACAGGTCAAGACCTCTGCGCCCATGTGGGCAACCGGGATGGAGTGTCGGGCCCTTGGTTTCAGTCTGGCTCATCTCCACCTGTTGCAACCATTTAGGGAGTGAACCAGTAGGTGGAAGATCTCTCTGTGACTGTGCCTTTCAAATAAATAAGACTTTTTAGGGGAAAAAAATTATTTTATGTGAAAGACAGAGTTAGAACTTTTATCTGTTGCCTCACTCCCCAGGTGGGTACAGTAGCCAGCACTGAACTAGGCCAGAGCCCGGAGCCCAGAGCTCCATTGAGATCAGCTGTCCTCTGCTGCTCTCCCAGGTGCCTCAGAGTTGGTGTTTACTATCAGTGTGAGCTCAGAAGTTTATGTTGCTGATACCATTTTAGCAAAAGGGCCTTTCATTATTGCTGTCTCGCTGCTCCCATTGACCATATGCTGATCAAGGGTGTTAAGTCCCCCTTTGATCCTATGTTAATCAAAGGTATAGCAGGAACCTATGCTTAAGGTTCCCCCCCCCCCATTAACCATATGCTAATCAAGGATGTTAAATCCCTAGATATAGTGGGAATCTATTCTTTCCGTCTTTTCTTGATCTTTAGATCCTTCCTTCTGTGGTGCATTTCCTTCCTTAACTGATTCAAGACTAAGTTGTAGAATGAGGATTGTAGTAGGAACTTCCTGGTCTCGGGGTTAGGATGGCTGATATCCTGCTTCAAGGTGAAAACAATTGGTAGAACTATCCTTAGGAATGTCCACTTGAGCAGGGGTGGAGTCTGAGCCAGCCTTTGTGAAGGCTTCTGTATAAATAAAACCGACAGCTTTCTCACATTGTCCATTATGATCCTGAAATTATACTGGTCCATTTCATTCCTCTTTGTGCCTCATCCATGCACCCTTCTGGAGCTGGACTCTGGCAGTGCACAGAGCCGATAGTGTTACACATGGACTACTGATTGATGGTTAATGGCCAAAGTTTATTAACAGCAAAAGACTTTTCAAGGGCCCAGCATGGTAGCCTGGCAGCTTGGGTCTTGCACATGCTGTGATCCCATGTGGGCGCCAGTTTGAATCCTGGCGGCCCCGCTTCCCATCCAGCTCCCTGCTTGTGGCCTGGGAAAGCAGTCGAGGACAGCCCAAAGCTTTGGGACCCTGCACCTGTATGAGAGACCTGGGGGAAGTTCCTGACTCCTGGCTTCAGATTGGTGCAATCACTTGGGGAGTGAATCATTGCATGGGAGATTTTCCTCTCTGTCTCTCCTCCTCTCTCACTATATCTGGCTTTGCAATAAAAATAAATAAATCTTAAAAAAAAAAAAAAGACTGCAGAGTGAGGGTCCCGTAGGCATACGGAAGGACGTGGTTTACATGCTAGCATGCAGAGGGGTCAGTCAGCAGACAGCGAATTTAGCAGGCACATGCAAGAAGGAGCACCTCTGATCTGTGGTTAGAGCTTGAGCTGCTCCTGAAGCTTTCCCACAGGCTTACAGTTTGTTACGATTGCATGTGGTGAGGTTCCCACTTGTCTTCCTGCAGTTGAATGTGTTTTCTCTGTCATTTGGACACCCTCGTTTGCTGGGTATTTGTGTGTCTGAGTTTTTCATTTTTCTTGATCACACCTATAAAAAGATTTTATTGGTATTTTATTTATCTTTTCTGGAGAATTCACTTTTGCTGTTATTAGTTAAACAACAAAAATGGACCTCCTCTTCTGTAAAGGTGAGAAGGGGCCCAGGTGCTGTGGGGGGCAGCCTGGTACTCCGGGAGCTGGTGCCCGGACAAGGGCGTAGACTGGTGGGTGTGGGAGGTGCTGTGGAGGGCAGCCTGGTACTCCAGGAGCTGGTGCCTGGGCACTGGGGAATGGACTGGTGTGGGACTTTGTCTGCCTTTCTCAGGGAAGCGTCAAGTGTCAGTGCGAGTGTCAGGTGGTGTGTCTCGCAGAGCCCCTGTGGTACCTGAAGCAGCAGCCGTCTCTCTGGGACCTGTGTGCCTCTATGATTCTTGTCTTGGGCAGGGGGTGCTACTGAACATGGCTGCCCCCAGCTTGCCTGATCTGTCCTGGCCTAACCCTTTGTAGAGGTCTGTGGCTGCTTCTCTACACCAGGGTGGGGGCTCTAGTCATTGTGTTCCTGTCAACCTAGTCTTCCCAGCTTGCCCTGTCTCTGCTGCTTGCCCTAGGGCACTCCTTCCTCCACAGCAGGACACAGTTACAGGCTGGGTGGATGCCAGAGGACAGAGCTGTGAGGACAGAGCGAGGTCCGTGTCCTGTGTGTACACACAGAGCTGTTAGGACAGAGCGAGACCCATGTCCTGAATGTGCACATGGAGCTGTGGGGACAGAGTGAGGTCCGGTGTCCTGTGTGTGCACATGGAGCTGTGAGGACAGAGAGAGCCCTCCATGCTCTTTCTTAACCATTAGGTAATGTGTGTATGTTGTAATGTGTGGCACATGTTTATACACACCTGTTAATATTTGCTGTATTATATGTGTGTGTACATATAAATATATGTTATGCACGATTTATTATATAATGTGTTTGTTATTTTATATGTATGTGATTTTATCTATTTGAAAGGCAAATTCAAATAGGTTTACCTTAAGTTCACTGGTTCAGTCCCCAGAAGCCTTCAGCAGGCCAAAGCCAAGTCTCCCATCCACAAGAGCTTGAATTGTCATCCCCTTTTCCTCCCAGAATACATCAACAAGCGGGGAAGGCCAGATGTGATGGTTCAACCGGCTAATCCTCATCTCCAAGTGTTGGGATGCCTTGTGGGCACCAGTTCATATCTTGGCACTTCTGATACAGCTCCCTGCTCATATCCTAGGAAAGCAGTGGAGGGTGGCCCAAAGTCTTGGGACCCTACACTCACACTGGAGACCCAGAAGAATCTCCTGGCTCCTGGCTTCAGATCACCTCAGCTCCAGCTGTTATGGACATTTGGGGAGTGAACCAGTAGATGGAAAATCTTTCTGTCTCTCCTTCTCCATAAATCTGCTTTTCTAATAAAATACATCAGTCTTTTAAAAATAAAAAAAACAAGTGGAGTGAGAGCAGAGAATCCAAGGCTCATACTGACACTGTCATAAGCTGTGGGCATCACGAATGGCGACTTAAACCAATGTGCCACTTGCACATACACATGTACACATATACATGTATATTCCCACTTGTTTTAAAGACTGGAAAACAGTCCCATGTTGGTAACAGCCCAGGTGGGAACTAGTCTTCGTCTCCCCCTTGGATGACAGGGACCTAAGCCTCTGAGCCATTTCCCAGCCCCTCCCAGGATGCATGTGAACAGGAAGCTGGAGCCCAGACGTGCAGTGGAGCACCCTTCTGAATGGTGTCAGCACACAGGCTGGTGTCCATCAGCACCGGTCCATCGTAGGCCATACCAGCAAAGGTGTCCCCTACACTCTCACATGCTCATCCGTGAGCTGGGCTGCAGTGTCTGGTAGCCATAGTTGTGGAGGCCCCACAAGGTCCTGAGGCAACAACCCTGATTCTGGACCTGGATCTTGGCTCTCCCCAGGATGACTCAAGCCATTGGCCAACATTCTTGCCTGCCGTTGGACCCAGCAGGCCTGGCATAGTGAAGATTCTAAAACTGAATTGTTGTGTTGTGTTCTCCCATTCAGATTACCCGGAAATTCAGGCTGAATTCTGAAGGCAAACTTGAGCAGACGGTCTCCATGGCAACCACTACACAGCCCATGACTCAGCATCTCCACGTCACCTACAAGAAGGTGATCCCTTGACCCAGGCTGGAGCTGGCTCAAGTGTGGTCCACACGTTCCTGTAACGGCATAGAAAACCAAATAAAAGGCCTTTATTTTTATGGCTGAGAATTTTGAATATTATCACTTGTGTAGCCTACATTTTTTTCTCCTTCCATTTGTTTTCCCAAAAAATTTAGGGTGATTCTTATACTACACTTGATCTTAGCCAAAAGGCTGAGAAGCGATTAGGGTGATTCTTCATCTTTGTTCTACAGTTTTGGCAAGATACAAATATGTAACCATCTCCATCAGAGTGAGTGGCCAACTATAAGCTGAAGAAGCAGGTGGGGCAGGAAGGGTACACTTCTCTTTTCATTACTTTCAGAACTATGTATGTTCCCTGAGTGGGTCCTGCTTGGTATCCGTGCTGTGTCCCTCACAGCATTGTGACTGTCTCTTGTAGCCATGCTATGTCCCTCACCATGTCATGGCTGTATTTTGTAGCCATGCTGTGTTCCTCACCATGTCCTGGCCATCTGCATCCCTCATGGCGTCCTGGCCATCTCTGTGTCCCTCACCGTGTCCTGGCCATCTCTTGTAACCGTGCTGATGGTCTTGTTGACTCTGAGTCCCTCTCAGTATCAGCTGCCTCAGCCTCACCTCTCCTCACTTTCTTCCAGGCTGGTTACCCCATTGGCCCCACATGCTTGAATGTTTCCAGAAACAAAACAAAGGCTTCTTTTTGCTAACACACTGGGGGCAGCAGGCCCAGAGGTTCTGGGGCAGCTCTGAGGGCAGAGAAGGTGGCCAGCCTAGGCTTGCTAGGGGAATGTGGAAGCTGGCTGGGATTGGCTCCCTCCTACCTGCTGGCCAGAATTTGGGAGGGCAGCCCCCAGGGATGAGTAACTTACAGGTCCTGGTACCAGCACCAGCCCTTACCCCCGAGTGGCTGGTGTCAAGTATGGTGCCCCACAGAGTGAACAACGCTATCTGTAGTACACGGGGAGTCATGTTGCTGTCCTACCTTAGTGATGTTTGGAATGCAATAGCCTAGACCTGTTGAATTTCCCATCAGTCTGGCACCCAAAACTTTTCCCACCTGTAGGTGTCCAACACCTGGTCTCACTTCTCCACCCTTGGTTCATCTCCGCCATGGTGGGGTGTCTGACACCTGGTGCCGCTTCTCCACCTTCAGCTCTTTACCATGCTCGGGATCAGGCCTCAGGCTGCCAAGCCCTGACTTGGCCTGCTTCTCTTTCTGAGCCTAGTGGGAGGGACAGAGGCCAGGACCTTCAGCACTGAACACTCTGCATACTGATGTCCACTATTGAAGTGTTTTTATGAACTTTCAGTCTTTGATTTTATCTCTTTTATGCTAAAGTCTTTTTTTTAAAGAGTTATAGGAAAAAAAGGGAGAGACCATAAGCTTCCTTTCACTTCCCAAATGGCTGCAACAGCCAGGACTGGACTGAAACAAAGCCGAGAGCTTCTTCCTGGTCTCGGGCATAGGTGCAGGGGCCAAGGACCTGGGTTGTCTCCATAGGGAGCTGGGTTAGAAGTGGAGCAGTTGGACCAGGATCCCATATGGTCACCGGTTCTAGTCCCAGCAGCTCCACTTCCCATCCAGCTCCCTGCTTGTGACCTTGGAAAGCAATCAAGGATGGTTCAAAGCCTTGGGATCCTGCACCAACATGGGACACCCAGAGGAGTTTCTGGCTCCTAGCCTCAGATCGGCACAGCACCAGTTGTAGTCACTTGGGGAGTGAATCATCAGACAGAAGATCTTCCTCCTTGTCTCTCCTCCTCTCTCACTATATCTGACTTTCCAATCATAAAAATAAATAAATCTTTAAAAAGTGAAGCAGTTAGGAGTTGAACCATTGCCCATGTAGGGTGCTGGTGCTGTAGATGGCAGCTTTACCATAGCACTGGCTCTAGGCACTAAAAAATCAAAGTTTTTTTTTACAACTGCTACTGGGGCAAGTGTGGCTCAGGGGTTATAATGCCAGTGGGGAGGTGGAGCTGCCATCTGTCATGCCAGCATTTATCAGTGCTGTCCACAGTTCTGTCCAGGCCCAGGGCCTGACGCAGTGATGGGCCCCTGGAGGTGCTCACAAGATGGTTGCCAGGCAGAGTGTGATGTCCTCCCAGGATGGAGCCTGCATTTTGAGCATTGCCTGTAGGATCCATGACCCTGTAAGTGGTTCAGGGCACAGGTGGCAATGCTGGACCACTCCGACCCTGTTACTCCCCACCTTTCTTGGCCGAAAGCCTGGCCCATGAGTGCTTTTGGTCAGCATCTGTCCCCTGGGCAATGCCGGAGTGTGTGAAGACTACATGGGTGCCCTGCACTAGCTGATCACACTGGCATCCCTCTTTTACACACTTCCAGATTGTGGCTGCCATGTGGTCCTGTTCTGCACACATGCCACTCATCCTGACTTCGCATCACCACCCTGCAGGACATGGGGCTCTGTGAGGCATGTGGCCGGCCCACGAGCTGCAGCCTGTTCAGCAGGCACCCCATGCCCAGCACCCATTGGCCTTGGCCGTAGTGAAGATGTGTACTTGGTGGGCCCATTGCCTGCCGCTCCGGGTGTAAGGTGCTGCCACTGTGGTAGTCTGGGTTTGCCTTTCTCTTATTTGTTCAGGCTTTTCTCATTGATGTTCAGAACTTGCTAGAAAGTTCAGCCCCAACGCCCACCTCTCCGTCTTAGGTTGAGGTGGAATACACGTGGCACACGATACATTTCAGCATCACCTCGGGCTGCTTTCAGAGCATTAGTCACCACACAGGGATCCCACACCCATTGCAGCCCACTTGCCCTACTGCTAGGCCTGTCTCAAGCTGCCAGCATCTTGGAAAATAGGGGCTGTCGCATGCATGTGTATGAGGCAGGTGTCAGATCTTGGGGAAATTCTTCCCAGTCCCTAAAAAGCTCACACCCACTTTCCCTTTGCAAACTTTGCTTCAACTTGTATGTGCCTGTCCTGCCTAGTGTATGTGGCAGTCTTCCTGGCGTCCTGGTGTGACACACCTGGGGCATAGGCTGGGCTCTCAGGTGTTGGGGTACCTGTGTTCACCGTGCTGGTGCCCAGGTCCTGGATGTCTGCTCACTGACACGGGCCTCTAGGCAATTCCATCCCACATTCTGCATGTTGGTGATGTCACTTCCTGCCCAGAGCACCAGGCCTGAGGGGCAAGCAGGCAGGAAGCTGTCCTTGACGGGTGGTAGCCTCTGCCCTGAGCTGGATTCAGCACAGCCTAGAAGCTTCTGGGCTCTCCCTCCCTGTTTCCTGGGGCTGGGGAGATTTGGCAGGGCAGGAAGGGGTCTGGAGGCAGGAAAGCCTGGAGGGGGGACGTGGGGCCTACGATAAGTCCTGTGTAGGGGACTGAGCAACACCTGGTGGGGCTGAAAGGAACCATGGGGATAGGAGAGCCACCTGACTCACTGGCTGTTGGCACTAAGCCCTGGGACAGCCCAAGTCCAGACACCCACTTCACAAGACAGGGTGGCTTTTGAAGCAAGTGGCTCCCACCTGGAGGAAGTAACTCCCACCTGGAGATGACTCAGGTGTGGCCACTTGGCCAGCCAGTCCCTGGCAGCATCCCCAGGCACAGGCCTGGCATAGGGATCCACTCACTGAGGTCATGAGAGGCCTTGAATATGGTCATCCCAGGCCACGGCTGCCTCTGAACCCTGAGCCTCAAGCCATGGTGTCTGCAGCCAGCCATGATGTACCCCATGGCCCATGCTACCTCCACAGCAAACTTGCCAGATTCACTTGAGCCCATGAACTAAGAAGCTAACGATTCATTGGCAACCTCAGGCCAGCCCGTCACAGCAGGGGCTAGGGGAGCATTGTTGGGTTGATACCCTCAGACCAGGACCACCATGGGCAGAGCAGGGACTGAGCTCTCTGGGGCCTTCCCATCTCGCCATCCCTGCTGCCAGACCTCAAAGCTCCCAGGGATGAGGTGAAATCTTGGTTTTTCGGGGTCCCTGGAGCTGAAAGTAGGAGCCTCAGCCCACCCCCACCCACTGTGAGGACACAAGGGGCTTCCCTCCACCAGGGCTTGCATGGGTCCCTGCACTCCCAGGGTGCACAGAGACAGGCCATGGAAACAGACATTCAGTTTTAGAGTTTACTGACCATTGCCACTGCACAAGGCTCAACAGGGAGTTGGGGCAGCAGCTGGGCTGCTTCCCAAGCTGGTCAGAGGCCCGAGAACCACAGCTCACCCATACGCTGAGGAGCTCAGCTTTCCTGGAATCAAAGTTCACGGCCGGGCTGGGAGGGAGCAGAGAAGGGACATGGGCCCAGGGGACTCATAGGGTGCCAAGTGGACAGTGCTACAGACTTCCAGCCCTCAACCACCAGCCCCTGGAGAAGCTGCCCGGAAATCCCAAGGTGTTCGCTTCCCAGGCCCCAGGGCTCCAGTCGGGGGATGTGGTTTCCAGGTGCTGGGGGCTCTCGGGCTGTAGTCTAGCTGGACTCATCTCTCTGGCAACAACACGAGGATGGCTGCCTTCAGGAAGCGGCCAATGCTAGAGAGCGCAGCCAGGAGCCAGTGGGAGCGGAGGCTGGGGTCCGTGCTGACCACACACTTGAGGACGTCAGTCTAGGAGGGGAGAGAGTTATGGTCAGCCAGGCACAGGCCAGGAGGGAAGCTGGCTTCTCCACAGGATGCTGCAAGTCCCAGCAAGACCCCTGTTCCCAGCTCCCATGGCTGGCCACACTCCAGTCTGGGACACCAGGCACAGATAACAATAAGCTCCTGCCCTGGAGACAGGAGCAGTGGCCCCTGGACACTTGGAGGGCCAAGTGGAGTCCACCCCTTGGTTTTAACTGTTCCTGCTAAGAAACATGGTTTCCAGGTCTGTTAAAGGCCGAAGTGGGGGTTGTGGGAGGTAGGGTCCTCTGTTCCCAGCCCCACGGAGGCAGGCAGAGGGGACAAGAACCACAGTATCAATCCCAAGCGTTGCCACAACCCTCACCCTCCCTCAGCCTTAACCACCACCAAGTCCATAGGGGAGAAGCAGGCCCTAGAGCCCCCAGCACTGCCTGGCTTTGACCAGGTCGGGACAGGTGGAGGGCACAGGGAGGTGGTCCTATTGACACCTGCCAGTCTGGGCAGATGGGAGGGCTGCCCCTCAGAGGAGTCACCTCCCCTCCTCCAGGCAGGGGCTTTGGACAAGTGGTTAGCTCCATAGGGCTGGATCTGGCTGGTCCCCTTACTTGTC